CTCTCTCTCTCTCTCTCTCTCTCTCTCTCTCTCTCTCTCTCTCTCTCTCTCTCTCTCTCTAGTCGTTAAATAAAATAGGTCTTCGCCTATTCTTTGCTCTGTGATCGAGAAACAGCGACTGGAATGTGTGTGTGCGTGTGTATGTGTATGTATCGTTTCATTAAACGTGTCGCTCTAATTGGAAAACTCAACGAAAGAGTTCCCCCGTTTGCTCGTTTCTTCGAGAATACGTACAGGTAGAAAATCTGAACAAAGATCCTGTATCAATTCTTCGACGAATTCCGAAAGAACGATCCTTCTTCTCTTCATTCAGAAGCTCTCGAAACCCAATCGACAGTCTTACGATTAATTTTCATAGCTAAATTAAGTCGCGTTTACAATTTTCTCATCGAAACAATCAAAATGCAATTCGACACGTGAATCACACCTTTGTTTTTTTCTTCCTTTTCTAATCGGGCACGTTTGTATCGTTTTTCGTTGAATTCCTTCTCAAGACACCACCACGTTGTTTCTCGAGATCTAGCGCGTGTTTTTGGTAGACGAAACTACAGCGATTCAGAGATACAAGGATAATCGTATCCTCCGAGTTTTGTAGATTCGAACGATTTATCTGCAAACGGTCAATCTTCCTACTCTCGAATACTGTCGGTATAGTAGCTCTCCTTCGATTTATCCCGACGATTTGCTTCAAACTGAATCGTACACACGTTGATCTATCGTGCGATCGATACGATTCTACCGTTTATACACAGGGATCAGATTCTTCGAAATTTTTGTCGATTGATCAATATTCTTAGGTTCGATAAGCTCTTTTAAAAACTACCAAAGCAAATCGTCAGAATGATTTATCATTATACATCCACGGTGTGTCCTTTATAACGTTATAAAACTGGTCCTGGTTGTGTCCACGTTGGAGTAATTCGATTAATTTACACGAGAAGTCTGTTTCGTCGAGTCGAACGAAGAAGAAAAACGAGGATCGCACAGCCTCGTTTTGTCGCAGCGTTTCAAAACCGTCATAAAAGCAGAACGAAGTCCAGGACTTCTTTTTTTTTTTTATAGGAGAGTCTCTCTCTTTTCGCATAATAAATTAAGCTTTCTTTTTTTTCCTCGTTACATCGCACGGTTGATTTACACTCTCTTGTCCTCACAGGCACAACAGGTTCTCTCTCGTGTGATCTTTTTTAACCCTTTCATCCTCATCGATTCCAACTATCCACAGTTTTGTCAAAATTTGTGTCACGAAATTACTTCTGATCGGCAATTGTTACTTTCTGATTCAGCGTGAAATCTTGCTTATCCCAAGAATAAACACCGAAAGCAAGCATAATTAAAAAAAATTCATTTTACATCACTCACAGCACAGTTTGATCCAAAAAAACCTTCAAGAATCCCACAAAACAATCAACGAATCAGAGTGAAAGGGTTAAAATTCTCCAAAAAAGACCAAAAAACCACAACGATTCTCCAGAAAACTCAAGAGAACAACGAAACGTTACAAACTCCGTATACACAACATCAAACACATTTTTCTTCCCCCCCTGAATCGAACAATCCATCTCGCAACTACTAGATAGTCCAGAACGGAATTATCCCGGCAGGACTGGCTAAGCTAAATAAGTCCTCGGTGTTGTCTTGTCGTCTTTCGTAGTGCAAGACCACGCTTCCTCTGCCAGGCTACCGTATCTCTGTACACCTGGAAACGGCGGTCCCGTGCTCTGTGGCGAGTAATAACCACCTTTCAACTGATAGTAATTACCAACCGACTGCTGGTACTGATACGGATCGCCTGGCAGAACGTTGCTGTAGCCGGAATAGGAGCCGTACTGCGAAGAAGAGTACGATGAAGAGTATCCACGCTCGCTCAGGCTTCGATAGGGCCCCGGATGTTGGGGCCTACCCTCCTGTCAAACGGGGGTGCTTACTGCTGCGCTTGTTATATAGTCGATATCACCGATGCTCTTCACTCTACGGTGCCTTTTGTTCCCGGTGATCGGTCTCGGTGGCAATTGGGGAGGCGGTGGTGAATTGCTTCGAGCGCTGCTCATGTACTGGCTGGCCAAACTTCCGGTGTCCGACGACGACGACGGCGACGCCTTCTCGCTTCTGGGTCGTAGACCGAACGCTCTGCTTAACGATCCCTGAAGAGAGGAATACAGAGAGGTAGATTAAACGGGTTGGATTTTTGCTTTTGGTTTTTTACTGGTTACAGGAGGAGATTTTTTTTCAACTTTGGATCTCGACTTCCTCGAGGGGACGATGCTACGAGCAAACGAGAAAGGACTGAACTCTTGAGAAGATGTTTACTGTGGTTTGATAGAGTTTTTTGGGGGGGATCTTTTAACACTCTTAAACGCTCATATTTTTGTTAAAACTTGATGTGACAGACGCGATCAATTTTTTTGTTTTTTTTTTTAACACATTCGCGTGGGGGAGTTTGGAACCGAATTTGACATTGGGTACGGGGTGGTTTCGCGTCTATTTCTCTTTCTTGGGAGGAAACTGCTGTAACTAATTACAGTAGTGCACACATAACTAAGAAACGAAGTAATTCGATATCGACTCCAGAATGTGGACAACTGACACTTGATAACATCGGTATCCCACTCAGCACATCTCCTCTCTTTTCTTTAGTTAAATTCACAGAAGTCACCTCCCCCTAACTTATGTCGTGCACTACTGCAATATTTTTCAAAGAAATTTTATTTAACTGTAGGAACGACGACGGAAAAATATCGAGGGACCCAACACTTGGGAGGAAACTGCTGTAACTAATTACAGTAGTGCACACATAACTAAGAAACGAAGTAATTCGATATCGACTCCAGAATGTGGACAACTGACACTTGATAACATCGCTACATAATGAGTGAAACATCTGTTATGGCATCTCTGAAGAGAAACTAAACCATTTATAACGTTTTAAGATGTGTGAAAATCTCAATAACGCGTATCTGTGTCAACCGTACCCAAGTAAAAACCCCGAAAGACGCACCAGTGTGTCATCCATTAACGCCAATGTGTTAATTACATTCTAGTCGTACAGAAACGAGTTTCTCATTTATTTCCAACGCTGTAACTCAGATTTTTTCAACAGAATAGAAATAACAGCGCGATATACGAAGAGTGAAAGGAAATAATTAAAAAAAAATTACACTTTTCGCGTGAGCGTTAAAGGGTTAAGGGTTCAAGGGATGCACGTGCAGTGACTTCTACGTTTTCAATTTTTCTTTTCTCTATGGTTGTTCGAGCAGTTTCGTAGGGAGATTTTTAGAAGCTAGATCTTGCAGGAAGGCTACTGATTGATCGGTGAAATTAAGAGCTACTGTACTAACAGGGAGGGAAAGAACGTAGTGTTTCAAGCGGTGGAAATTAAAGTTTCGAGATGATGCATGAACTGATTGTAAGATTTGATCAAACATTGGCTAACGAGGAACGAATATGACAGAAATGAACGACGAGATTGATCGATGTGATACTTCTTTTTTTTTTTTTCTATTTTCAGCTCGTTTGTATTTCCTGATTAGCCAATTTTGACGCGTTCCTTGTTCAAAAGTCTAAACTATCAAAAATTCAGTAATCTCTACTACGGAATATTTCTGAGTGTTTTGTAGAAAAAAATGAAAAAAAAAAAAAAAAAAAAAAACGAGAAATATATCAATCATGGTATACGCAAAGTAGATTTATGGCCGCATACCTGTGAGCTCTTCCACGACAACTAGTAAAGGACGAAAAACAAGGCGGATTAAGAACCCACATCGTGAATTCCACATTGAAATCATCAGTTTATATATTTACACAATGGCTCGTCATTGTTATAATCATTCGTTTTTAGGTTGCTAAGAATCGAGTTTTTTGCTTTTTTTCGTAATATCTTTATCTTTTCTCTCTTTCTTTATGCGATTAATTGCTACAATAAATGTACCCTTAAAAAGTCAGGACACTCTGAACGTACATACATGAAAAAGGAGAACGTGAATTGATCGATCGTTGCCTTTTTATGTACAGTGTTTACAGTGTTTCTTTTAGTTTTTTTTTTTTTTTTTTTTTTTTTTTTTTTTGGCGGCGATACAGTCAGCCTTCCAGAGGAAATTTAGCATTCGACAAGATCGAGGATAACAGCTAGGAGGATCGCGATTTTTTTCTATCGTGGTTCATCGAATTTGCAAAGTAAAAAAGAAACTAACTGAAGATACAATAGAAGATTCATTTCTCGATCGATAAAAAATTCCAATTATATTCCATTTATTTCCTTAAAAAAAAAATTAACAATAAAAGAGAGAAAAATTGAAAGAATTGATTTCATATTGTAAATTACGAAATAAATCGTGGCTCGATGAATCACGATGGCAAAATACCGGGAGAATCGTTAAATTTCTCTAAGTTAAGCTCATTTTTCCTGCGAATTCTCCTACGAGACGACATGCTAATTAATATTCGCTGTGTAACGAGGGTTTACAAGTTTCACAAGTGACAGATAATTAAGTACAGGGAAGAAAGGGTTTCTGTGACTGTTCTCTCTTTTTTTCTCTCTGTGTATTCCTACAATTCTGCGCGATACGATTGCGCTCGTACCTCGAATCTCAGTCTTTCTTTCTTTCTATCTTCTTCAAGAGAAATTTCAGACGATCGACAAAAAAAAAAAAAAAAAAAGAAGAAACAGAAAAACAGAAGAATTTGTTTCTCGCGCTCGTCGGACCGACGACGAAAATTTTCTACGGAAGAAACTCTCACTTCGAAGAGAGGAAGAAACATCGACGACCGGAGGAGATAATTCAGCGAAACTTGAAATCACGCTCCTTTACCCGTATTTTCGAAGTCCGTACGATCGAGGTCGAGATCCATGAGAATCGTCTACATTTCAGCGGAGAATTTGTATCATTTTCAAGAAAAAAAAAACACACACGATCACCGAACGAACCGAATCGTTCACAAACGGACTCTATACTATGTTCAAAATAAGAGTAACCTCGCTCTCGGACCGATTCTCGTTCGTTCTGCGCATAGACAGAGAGCGTAGCAGAGGGTAAGGGTACGCGAGACAAATGTAGGCGGTTGAGTGGGAGGTTTGGACGTTCTAGTGGCTCTAGCCCTGCCTTAGGCACGCCCCATGCGCGAAGCGAGGTTACTCTCATTTTGAACAGAGTATAGACAGAGGTTCTTCGTCTTGGTAAGTACTTCGCTAAAATCCAGACATTTTGCTTTACACGTCGAGACATCCCAGAGACGGGAAAAGAAAGACAGAGAGATAGAGATAGAGATAGAAAGAGTATTGAATATTTGAAGGATGTCTCGCCGTTTTTGGAGGATGCTCTAAGACAGTGATGAGTATCTACTATGTATCCAAATGAAAAGACTCGACGTGGTAAGGTTCGGATAGTTTGCAATCTCCATTAAAAAAAAAATATATTCTTTGAATTTTGAAAAAATCCATACAGGAAAATTCGAATATCCTTGAATATCCTGCAAATCAATCGTTCCCTTTTCACGTTCTCTCACAGAACTGTTCTCTCGAAGTTTCCTCGAAGGACATTTCACAGTTCTTCCTTCTCTTTGTTTTACCAATTCAAATTTCCTCTGTTGTCGTAATTTTTGTAAAAACCTCAAAACGATCCGCAGAGGAAACTTCGAAAGTTTCACGAACGAACGCTGAACCTGAATAATCACAGGTTAAATACATCACTAGGGAACTCTTTCTCTATAAATATATATATATA